CACTCTCCAAGCACAAGATTATTGCTTCTGGCTCAGATCTACCAGTCCAGGTGCCAATCAACTTCTGTGTTTGTTTGTGGGTTTGTTTGGGTTTTTTTCCATTCTCTTTCTATTACCTAGCTCCATAGGTATTATATGTTGTTCCTTCCCTAAACCTAAGTACTCTTCCAGTTGTACCCATCAAGCATTAATACTATAGAGCACAACATTTCCAAAAATGTAATATGAGTGACTGGTATAAAAAGAGATTGTTTTAGATAGAATAAGGACAATTTTTTAAATAGTCATGTATTTATTTTTACAAATTCCTTCCTTTTAAGTAAATTCAACTAATATTAGCAAGTCAATTTAAAGAACTATATTTAGTAAATAAGAGTAAAGCAACATTTAGGTAGCATCATTATTGTAGGAGTGCTCAACCTGAAGATTTAGCCTTTCTATATTACATATATTTCTTCTTTACAATGGGAATGATAAGACCTGCTTCACTGATATTGGTGAAATGAACAGGTCCTTAATGCCTAGCTGACTTTCTGATGCATGGTAAATTTTTAACAAATGATAATTTTCTTTTTCTTCCATTTCTTATTGCCTACATTCCAACCTTTTTGCTGCCAATTCCTGTTTTTTACTATTAAGGATAAAATTTAAGATACGGTCCATTGACTGCACTTCAAAATAAAAGTTGAGATAATCTTATTATAGTGCACTTATTTAAAGTTAATTTTGATAGATACATAGATATATAGACATAGACACAGATATATGTCAATACACAAAGAAGCATAAGAAGACTGGAAATCCTATTTATACACTAATGATCATCAGGCAGAGAGCTTTAATAATGTGATAAAGATTCTTTGATTGAATATGAGTTTGTCTTGTTTTATTTCTCTCTAGGTGAAAAAGGAGAAACAGGGACTTTTAAACTAGGAAGGGGGTCGACTCTCAGCTCCATCATTTACTAGCTTTGTGACCCCGATCATAAACTGGATTCTCTGGGCCTGGGTTTCCTCATCTAATGATACCCACTACCTTACAAGGCTGTAGAGAAAGTAGAGACAATGTATGTGGAGCATGAAAAACCTACTTTGCTTTTAAAAAGTGCTAAGATCATAATTATTATAGTTATTATTTTCAAGATTATCTACTGCTCATGACAAAATTATATAAATACCTCATTGCAGAAAAGACACTATTACTCTTAATTCTATTCATGAGAAAAGACAAGCCCTAAATTATTTTTTTAAAATCTCTGAAATATCAGAATTCAATTATAGATAACAGAAACCATTCTTATAATTTTAAGCAAAAAGATTTTTTTATACAAAGAATAAATATAAACATTGTATACATCTCATCATTGGAAGTTCTAGAGAAGCAAGCAGGTCCTAGGCTGGGCCATCAGAAGAACAATACAAAATGAGCCAAACTGGGAGGGAGGCTGATCTCCAAGAAGCAGCAGCTGGAGATCAGGAAATGGGCCCAGAAGCTGTTGGTTCTAGGAAGACGTACATGCCATCTGGGGTCAGGAAGCCAGGCCATCACTGGGCTCCAGAGTAGGGCTGCTACATAAAGCACAGGATGCCAACTTAAATTTGGATTTCAGATCAACAACAAATAATTTTTAGTGTAAATGTATCCCATGCGATATGACATACTTATACAAAAAAATAAAATAAAATAAATAAAATAAAATATTCAAGTTTAACTGGGAATTATGTGTTTAACTGGGCCCATGAATTACTCCTCCTTTATCTGAAATTCAAATTCAACTGGATGTGCTGTATTTTAATTTGCCAAATCTGACAGCTACAATCTAGCCACCCAGAGCCTGCTGTAATAGTAGCAGCAGAAGGTGGCCTTGCATGATGCCACCTCGTTAGTCTCAGCATTGTGTCAAATTAGCAGAAACTAAATCACATTGTGAATTCTGGCTGCAAGGACATTTGGGAGATAACTCTTAGCTTTCATTATCTGTATATAGAAGACATGCAAAAATATGAAGGAACATATGAAAAGTAGACAATTCATCACAATAGCTACACAATAATTGAGTATTGCATTTGTAATTTGCTTTATATTTAGCAAATTCATGTATCTTGAGCATCTGTCACTTTCCAGTCATTATAGGTATTTAAATATACCTATAGGTATTTTTAAATATCTTTAAACAAAAAAGAAACAATACTAAACAAAAAAGACAAGCTTCTCACAGAGCTTATATTCTAGTAAAGAAAAAAATACAATTAGTACAACTACAAAAGTACAATTAATATAATTAACAAAAACCTGTAAATTACAGAAATGCATAAAATTGAAAGTATAAACTATCTATAATCCTACCATTCCTTCTTCCATCTTGACACACACAAAAAAGTAAAATTCTCCTTATCCTTTTCTCCCTCTGATTTTACTCACAGAGATGATCATTAGTAAAAACTGTGTGTAAATAAACTAAACTTAGTTCTACCATGGTGGGAAGTACAAAGGCTCAGTTGTCTGCTGAAGGGGTCAACACTCACAAAGCTAATTAGGAAAAGACGAAATCCAGACATCTCTTTCCTCTTCCCTTGGGGTCCTCGGGGCCTGATTCAGCTCCCCTGTCTGGAAGTCACTTTCTGGTCCACATGCCCGCTCCAGCCTCCACCTGCAGCCTCTCCCTTCACAGCCCGGATCTTCTCCTTCAGAGAAGACTGAGCCTGAATGGAGCATAGACAGGACAGAGCCAACCTCTTTCTGGAGAGTGCTGGTCAGTTTTCCCATGCCCGATGTTTACCTGTGATGCTCACATAGCCTCAGTCCATCAGTGTGAGGATGCGGGGAGAGAAAGGACTACAGGGGTGGCTCTCCCCGCCCACCCTCACCTTCTGTCTCACAGGCAGTGAGGTCTTAACTCCTTGAGTTGTGACTTCTTGATCCTGCATGTCTGACTCTGACAACGTGACATGCTTTCCACCCATTTCCTCCCCAAAACTCTGCTCCAGCCCTCCCCGATACCTGCTTCTTTGCTTCCCCACTTCTGTATCGCTGTCCTGACACCAGTCTGCACAGAGGACCTTACTGTTCAACGCCCCTGCCCATGGGCCTTTGTGCTGCTCCGGACCCAGCTTCACTGCCCCTTCCTTGGTGTGAGGGCGCAGGGAGTGAGGCAGGGAAGGGAAAAGCTCACAAAGGGTGTGCATGGAGGAGTTTATACGGGGGAGGGAAAGGGGGGGGAGGGTGGCCAGGGTGGGGAGATAGGAACGCCCCAGAGAGCCAGAGGCCAAGAAGTGCAGACCCAGGAAAGCAGGAGTGGTGACAAAGGGGAGCAAGGCAGGAAAGAAAGTAGCACTAATGCAAGGTAAGTTTTGAAGCTGGCTGCCATAAGTGCCAACTGATTGCTTCTCTCAGTACCAGTACGATCCTCCGGGAGGCTGTATAAACCACGTGTCTCAGGACAGTCCACCAACAGATGGGAGGGGGAAGAACCTATCTACTAGCTCCTTTCTCCCATCACCAAAGGCTCATATGACAGGGACTTCGGTCTGCTACACACCCACAGTGCACGTGGGTGGACACCGGGAGAATCCGCAGCAGACGCCTCAGCAGAAAGCGATGCCAAGGCAATAGGTGAGACAGGTGTGGCTGGGCGTGCGAGGAGGGGCTGTCTGTGGCTGCAGGAGGTTGGTCTGAATTTCTTCTGGGGCTGGGGCTGGGACTAAAGAGACGAGGTAAGTGAGAGTAAGAGGACCTGAGCAGCTTATTAACTGTGTGCGTGCCTCACCAGTCTGAAGTACCCCTCTAAAGATGATGGGGGCCCACATAGCTTGTTAAGAAAGTTTTCTGAAGAGCATGAAGCATGACCACATTGAAAATCCACTTTCCATTGTGAAAATCTGGCACATCAAACTAAGATCAAATGAAGCTGGGTGGAAGAGGAATTCTTTCCCAGAATGCCCGACCTCAGTGAACACAGCTCCTCTCCGGGGAGCTGGAGAGGCACTGGGAGAATGAAATGAACAAGGAAAATAAACTGAGTGAAGCAAGTCTGAATGAGCTCAGTCAGAAGACCTTGTTACTATCAGTAAGATGAAGAAAGGGGTTCTCTGTTGGGTCACTCAACAGATAGTCTATAAAGCATTTTTAGCTGTTTTAACTTATTTTTACTTGTCACCTACTATGAAGCACCAGTTGCAAGTGCATGTTTACAAATTTACATTAAAGTAGGGGGAACACTCCCGAGGAACCGTGTGCTCAGAACCTTATAGGTGCTGTTCTGGAAGGGAGGGAATGTTACAAAAAGGGGAGGTGTTTATCGGTTGGAAGAATGTGAGCGGTAGGAGAGATACCAGCCTGGATAGACATCACTTAAAGGAGGAGAGAGGAAATGTACACGACTTCAGTTTCTTTATAGTCATCAGCTCTATATTTATTTTTTAATCTGTATACCATTGAATTTAATTGTGAGTAGATATTGAGAAAAAGGTTGACATTTTTTCTACAATCATGCAGTAATATTTCAAAAGGAATTATTTTACTTTAAAGAAAATATTTGAAGTGTTAATAATCTTTAAGAAACATTCCCATTTAAATTCTGCATCCAATGAAGAAATTCAATTATTGAGTTTTTCCAAATACGCATAAAATGATCTAAATGTTTTAAAATTAATATAGAGCATAAATGTGTTGTTAAAATGCATTAAAGGGTTATAGAGAAGACAAAACATAATGAATACAATAGTGAAGATAGTGCAACTTTGTTTTAAACAACAAATACATTTCAATTTCTGGTTTAACAGCTGTGTAAACTGCTACCGAAACCAGTCTCTATAATCATATCACTTGGCAAATTCTTGAAGATCAAGTGCTTGGTTATAGTCAGCCATAGCTTCCTCAATCGCACCCATTTTACCACGAACTTCTGCTCTCAGATTATATACCAGGGCATCATTAGGGTTCAAAGACAGAGCTGTAAAAGAAAAAAATGCAAGATGTGTTTTATGCTAACACTCGAAAGGTCTCAGTTTTTAAAATAAAAATCTTATAACAACTTTAGTATTACTTGTTTGAAAACATTTTCTTCATATGCACCTATTTAAATTTAAAACATTGACTCTTTCTTAGAAAATTAAATTGGGGAAACAGTACAATGTCTTTCTTTGAAAGGCTGCAAATGCTTGTGTACAGTTTCCCTAATAATTTTCTGCATCTAAACTGACCAATACTGCAAGTTATTACATAAAGAAACTCATATTGATTACATTAAAGACATGGTATATAAAAACACTCATTTCTAATGTAATTTTTTCTAGACCAATAAACCTGATAGGTTTGTTCTTTTATTATTTAAAAAACACATCAACCACTGTAATCTTACCCAAAACAGTACCAAAAATATACCTTTACTGAGGTCTTCCTCGGCTAATTCATATTGCTTTAAGCAACAATAGAACTGCGCTCTGTTAAAAAACACCGCAGCCCAGAAGGGACAGCTTTCAACTACATTTGCAAAATCTTCTTTTGCTTCTTCGTACTTCTTTAATACTGTATTTGTGATAGCTCGATTCATGGTAGCACATTCATTTTCTGGATCAAACGTTAAAGCCTTTGAGAAGTAGTCACTGGCCTATAAAATGTGAAGATAATGATAATCTGAATACAATTTAATTGGAAGCTATACAGGAATTTGAAGTATTTTTACTCTTAATATAAAATTAAGACCAATGGCATTTCCAGGGGACACTGGAAGCATTTCATCCCAGATACAGATGATAAGAAGGTGCATTGTCTGTAGAGAATGCAAAAAGCAGTAATAAAACTGGCTAACAGATGGTCTGCTTTTTGTTATCACCCCAAGTAGGCAATTCTAGACAACGTCTGTGATGAAGAATAGGAGACTTGACCATGCAATGCAGTACACAGATAATGTATTATAGAACTGTACAATTAGGACCTATGTAATCTTAACCACTGTCACCCCAATAAATTTAATAGTTTTAAAAAATAAATATTCTTCTCTATTAAAGTGAAATGTTTCACTACCTTACCCCCACCCCATAAATCCCAAATCCCTACACAGCACAAGAAAAAGGTAAAATATAAATTAGAAAATAAGATCCCAATAAGAAGATAAAATATATTAGAAAATTAACACTTTTCATATAAAAGCAGAGTATCTAAGAGCTAAAGAGATAAATTTTGAAAAGTATGTTCTAAACTGTATTAAAAAGGGATTAAAAACTCGGTTGTACTATGAAAAGCTATAAGGAAGGATGAGAGAAGATAAACACCAGCTTGTCAAGAAGATCAAAGACTCTATGTTATTCATAACTCATCATCAAGCTGGAAGGACCCTTCAAAGTGTGGTCCATTTACCAGTATTGGAGTCTTGATCAACAACAAATTAGAAATTAAAAAAAGAAAAAAAAAACAAGTCCTTTGCCAATGGCTTGAGATGCTGATTAGACACCTTACCACTGAAGGTAAGAATCTCTTCTCTAACTCCATGATGGACAAAAATTTGGCTCCTACTTTAAACTTTCTTAAAGGAAAAGTCATTTTCCACAATAGAGCTTGCTCTCTCCAGTTCCTTACCACTTGATTTTCCCCCAACACCACAATCTGGCTTCCACCTACCTCTCCCTCTTCCATGAGTTTTGCTCTTGTTAAGGTGGAAGATGTCCTCAAGCCCAGTGGACATTTTCTAGTTATTTTCTTCCTTGACATTTGTGTGGCATGAACACTCTTGACATCTCCTTCCTTCTTAAAACTTTCTCTGTCCTTGAATCAGGGTGCCTCCCTGTTTTTCTCCTACCTCTCTGATCATTTTCTATCAGTGTCCTTCACAGAACTATTTTTCCCCTCAGTTCACTTCTATCATTGGTGAAAGGAAATCCTGACAGCATGGTCAGGAGCTCAGAACATGGAGCCAGATTTCTAGGTTCAAATCCTGGCTCTACTACTTATCTCTGCTTTGGGGTAACTAAATCTCTTTTCCTCAACTTTTCTCATCTGTAAAATGAAGGTAACAAACAGAAATCTATGTCCAGTGCTGCTATGAGGGTTAAGTGAGCTAATAGTCAAGTATGGAGAAGGACTAAATTATTATTGATACTAGGGGCCCGGTGCACGAAATTCGTGCACTGGGTGTGTGTGTGGGGGGGGGGTGCCTCAGCCCCGCCTGCCCCCTCTCACACACTGGGAGCCCTCGGGCGTTGACCCCATCCCCCTCCA